GCTCACTGAAATTGAAATTCAGATTGTCGACATAGCCTTATGGACGAGGGCTTTCATATACCACAAGTTTTATAAAGTTTTGGTAGCCCGAAGATTGGGTGTGTGGCTAGCCGAATCAAGGCTCTATGCCAACTCTTGCGAGTTTATCTATTTAGCACCAAATGCACATATAAAATCATAAAGCATTGATACAGAATCCCTTTTCTTTTCTCATATTCCCCAACCATGCAATAGTCGTCAGCAATTTGCAATTCTTTAACAAAATACATTATCCTAAGTGAAAAGAAAGAAAGAAAAGAAAATGATGCGGAACTAATTATTATTATTATTATTATTATTATTATTATTATTATTATTATTATTATTATTATTATTATTATTATTTAGTAGATTGGTGAACAAGTTAGGTTTAGGGCTTTAGGAGTCTTATTGAAAGACTCATTCGTTATTTGGGAGTTGATTTTTAATGAAATAAGATATTATTGAGTTTTGCGTGTTTTACGAGAGAGTATCTCGTTTACTCGTTTTATCCTTCTCACTCGTACGTGTTTATAGTATTTTTGGGCATGTGGCAACCGAGCTACCCGACTCGGGTCTTCTCAAAGGAAGGTTGTTCGGAGCTTCGTTCACTATTTAGTCGTCAAAAGTCACATAACCGAAAACAATGTCCTACACATTCTACTCGCTTGATGGGGATTGATTTCACATGAAATTAAACTAACAATCTAGAGCAAATGAAAGCAAATGATGCAAGATGAAAACTTTAGGTTAACCGGAGTCTCTATCACTCGAATAAATACGACGAGCCAAGCAACATCATAGTAGCCATGTGATCTTAGGTGATTAACTCGAGCTTTATAACTAATGACTATGCTTTAAACCAAGTCGCACCCTTTACACAAGATAAGCATAAACTAATCCCTAACACACATCGACAAGCAACAAAAATCGACCATTTCTCCATTCAACAAGCAAGACCAAATTTACCTTGAAACACATCATAAGCAAAACGGGCAAAATCGAAGTAATGAGGATTAAAGCTAATTACCCACTCTGCTAATGCATGTGTGAAGAACACCAGATGGAAAAGTTTGAATCTTGAAGTAAAATGATGTCGCCCAAAACTTGTCGGAAAACTAGAGTAATAAAGCTCCAAACCAATGCATAAAAAGAAAAAAAAAAAGAAAATGGAGAGGATTTCCCAACTTAAAAGTTGGGAAATGAGGGTGATGTCCAAAATTACAAAGCACAATGTCTTTTTATAGTTACACCACAAACACGCACATTTAGTCAAACACTCTCGAGATCTCCAAATTTTCCGCGAGGTCGCAAGTGCAGGCTTGGGCGATGGGAAACTCACGGGCACAGCGCCGTTCGCGCGCGCGGATGAAGGATTTCACGGGCTGGGGTGCGCCACTTGTTGGAAACTCGCGGGTTACAGCCGTTTCGCGGGCGCGGAACATGAACTCGCACGGGCTGCAGTGCACCCGACGGAACTCGAGAGATAGCAAGGCTTCGCGTGCGCGGAAGGAGATTTCGCGGGCACTGTGCATGGACGCGCGCGGGTGAGGCTTCGGGCGTGTTGCGGGCGCATGAGATACTCTCGACGTCGCGGAAATTTACACGAGCTCGCGGGCATGAGTGAAGAGCACTCTCGACGTCGTGGATTTTTCCACGAGCTCGCGGACGCGCGGCTGGGCACGTGGGCGCGGGAAGGTGAGTGGGAATGGTCCCGGTGACCTCTTGATGCTCGATTCGCTCTAACTTCTCGCACGTTTCTCCGATTGACTTAAAACTTTGACCCACGTTTCTCAAATCTTCTTCTCCTCGTCTTGAGATGTGTAAATGGATGTCACTATGCAGTTAATACATATTCTTGGAACAACTCGGAAATGGTTTGCGTGGCTAGGACGTGGTTTGGACGGCTCGGAAGTATCTCGGAAATGACTCATTTTTCCAAGCATAGTAATGATGGACCTATTCAACACCAAAAAGACAAGAAAAGTACGTCGAACCACAAAAACACAATACGAGAATAAAAATGCACAAAACACGATAAAATGGACTGGTCGACACTAAAATGGACATAAAAATACTAAACTAAAACACATAAAACACACGAAAATAAGCACAAAAACACAATAAATAGTACGCTTCCCTACATCAGTTGGTATCAACAGTCAGTATGATTCACGATATTGCCGGGACGACAAGATGCAGCAAACAAACAACGTGATGCAACCTTCAACGATCGGTTTCAACAGATCGACTACCAATTTCAACAGTTGGACGTGTGTTTCACGAATTGGTTTGCAGATCTTTCGATGGGGATCGAGGATTTGCGTTTGTCGCTTAACAACGTGGTCTGGTATTTGCAGATGAACCGTGTCGCCGGCGACCGGGGTGTGCACATGGGAGTTCACGGCAGAAGTGGAGGTCATGGTCCATGCGGGGCGCCCCGTCAGCGATCTCCACAACCGCCGTCCGGCGATGCAGACGGCGAGGAGACCATCTCGGAGGTGTATCCCTTTGGATAGTGGCCCCATTCGCCTGTTGAGACTGAGCTCGTTGTTGCATACGGTGGCTAAGATGTGCGGCAACAAGGTGTGGTTTTTGAAGAAGATGACAAACTATTGTACGACGGTCCGCCTAATTTCGATGAGGAGCCTCCGGGGCCGGAGAATTTCATTGTGGAGTGTAATTCTCTTTACAACAACACCAACAAAGGCTGTAACCAACCTTTTTGGGGAGAGAGTGTGCATGCCAGGGGCGTAGGTCCTGCTCCATTCCCAGTCGAGGAATTTTCACTTCACAAGCTGGTAGATGCAATTATTTGTATGCTACATCATGAGGTTAAGCAAAGTGAAATGGAACTGGCACAAGTAATAGAAGATGATGATTGGGTGATTATGACACGTCAAGTTATTGACCATTCAGGTGGTGTTGAATTTTTTAGTTTTATGATGCCCGAGGATGTTTGGGTTGGAAGTAGGGCTCCTATGTTGTGTGGGTCGACTAGAGTGGACGTTGGGAGACATTCAACTTTCGTGATTGATAGGGGAAACGTCGGACGATGATTGCCATGGGTACGACTCCGATGTCGGCGCGTTTTGGTGCAGCTTCAAGGGTGAAGTCTTTCGAACCGGAGGAGAATGATGCGGATCGTAGTTTAATTATTATTATTATTATTATTATTGTTATTGTTATTATTATTATTATTATTATTATTATTATTATTATTATTATTATTATTATTATTATTATTATTTAGTGATTGGTGAACAAGTTAGGTTTAGGGCTTTAGGAGTCTTATTTAAAGACTCTTTCGTTATTTGGGAGTTGATTTTTAATGAAATAAGATATTATTGAGTTTTGCGTGTTTTACGAGAGAGTATCTCGTTTACTCGTTTTATCCTTCCCACCCGTAAATAATATGACCGCCTCCTTGTAAATCCCCCTGGTAGTTTTAGATCTCCAATTTTATTGTGTTATCTGCATACATCCCAAAATGAGAAACATATTGAGACAAGTTCCATAGAAAATATTGTTGGTAGCACCATGAAAATACTTCCAAGAAGAATTTCGAAAGGGTCTACCTCTGGGTTATCCTTATGCGTATCTTTCATAAAACACAAATACAAAATCCTCTTTCTTTTCTCATTTTTCACAACCAAGCAAAAAATATTCAGATTTGTAAAATTATTCAAATGATGAATACTCTATGCAATTTTGTTATTGTGTAAAAATAAAATTGGGAAAATAACTAGCAAACCCTAATGCTAATAAAAAATCAATCGCCATACATGTAGAATAATTAGAACTTAATGTGTAATTCTATGAACCCTACAAATGTCGAAGAGAAAATCATACCTTCCCTCTGTCCCTCACACTGCGGCTAATGATGGAAAGAGAACAAAGAGACCCGCGAGTAGTACTCGATCTTCAGGCTGGGTTTCAGAGTTTGGGAAATTTAATGTTTGGATATCGTTAATTGCTCTGAAAAATCTCAATCCATCGATTTTCCTTTAGTTTTCTTGCCCGCCATATTTTCCCGCGAGCATAAAAAATTTTCTAGTTTTTTTCCACTATTCCAAAGATTTTGGCACATTTATTCGTGACTCAAACTGTCCAATACACTGTTTGAAGGCAAACAGTGGGCTTGACTAGTGTTATGCCACGTTAAAAAAAATTACCCACGACAGAGCGCATTGTAAATGAAAATATGAAGACATTGTGACATGGCATATATTTTTTTTCCTTTAATAGCCTACACTAGAGATGCTCTAACATGAGTGGATCGTGCCGTGTAGGACCAAGGGCCTTCTAGTAGTTTCACAATAAAAACTTTGGTCAACTCCAAAATTCTATTTAATTATTATTTATTTATTTGTTATTATTGTTTTTAAAAAGAAAAAACATTTTCCGCGTCCCTCCAAGTTTCAAACTTCTACAATTGGATCACGTGAACTCAGTCGTGAGAATGAAAAAATGATTTGTCTTTTTATCATGACCGCACAAACAGGATCCTCGCTAGCTAGCTGTTTCTCAACATTATTTTGACAAATAAATTAATAAATATAGAATAAATATAATATTCCATTTGTTGCGTTCCACTGATTATTAAAATTTCCTTTACTACTCAAAGCCCATCTGATTTTCATTAATTATATACAGAAACATAGTAATATTAACATGAGATGTTACATTACAGAATCATTTCGTCGAGTTTATAACCATTAGATCAACTATCCGGACGATTATAAACACGGCAAAATGGTTCGGCGACATATATAACACACAACAGAATTCCCATATACAGACAGATACGGAGAATCTCATGCATTCATTTGCATGTTCTTCAAACACCTTCTTCATCTTCTCTTCTCCTCTCTCCCAAATTAATTACAGTTTCCCCTAACTGCGATTTAACAACAAAAATAATAAATGTTTGCATCGTAATTTTGATTTCCTGCATCTGATTAGGCATATGAATATCGGCGATGGAAGGTGAAAATCCGCTACTCATCGCCGTCAGGGCGAACTTCACGAGACCTTCGTGGGCGGTCCTCCTGCTCGTGTTCGCGGGGCTCGCCGTCGTCGGCCTCCACGTCACGACCAACGCGATTTCACCCTTCGGCCCACCCGTACCCAATCGGGGCGGCGATTCGCGGCCCAGCTGCTCCGGGATCTTCGAGGCACCGCCGCGGCGTAGGGTGGCGAGATCCATCGCGGAGTTCGGGGGCGTGGGGGACGGGAGGACGTCCAATACGGCGGCGTTCCGGAGGGCGGTGGAGTACATGGACGGGTTCAAGGGGAGAGGTGGGGCCCAATTGAATGTTCCAAGAGGTCGGTGGCTCACGGGGAGCTTCAACCTCACCAGCGATTTCACGCTTTTTCTCGAGGACGGTGCAGTTATCCTGGGCTCCCAGGTAATTAATTAATTAGTGTTTAATTGATTCATAACTCAACAATTATATCTTTAATCGAGTATAATATAATTATTATTATCCCTTCGAATTCTTGTGCCTCTTGTAACTTCGAAACCATTGAAAACGGGATTTTGTTTTACTGGTCTTTGCTGAAATTGTAGCTCAGAGGTGGAATCTCTACAAATCATATAATTTTGATAAAATGTGGAAAAAATGGTGCTGAGTTCTTGACAAATTGGCTATGGACAATGGACTTTAGGCAAAAAGACAATAGGAAAAAGAGCATATGAATTCAAATCTTTCAACATGAGGAAGAAACAATGGACCACCTTATTTTGTTGACTTAATCAATCTCTTTATGATGGTAATATTGTTATGCAATCAAGAACGCATAATTGGTTAATTAATTTTTTCTTTCTCTAATTACACTAATATTCGATAGTAGGACCCGGATGAATGGCCGATAATCGAGCCGTTGCCTTCGTATGGAAGAGGGAGGGAGAGACAAGGAGGACGACACATAAGCCTTGTTCACGGGAATTCTTTGTCAAATGTGGTGATTACAGGTACATAGAGATTCTTGAGATTTAATAAATGATGATTGATGTTTAAAGTGCTTTTGTATAGGATGGGTATGACTTTCGACATGGGGACAATCTTATTGTGAAGTTTCAAGTTAGCCAGCTCATGCTTTATATAAGAAATGATTTTGGTATTAAAATTGTCTTTATCATTCCATCTTTCAGCATTAACTAGTCAGCATTTCACATCTTTAGTGGGAGGTTTCGGTTTTCCACTCGTATGGACTTCGAATAATGGCTCCTTCTCAAGGTTGAATTGTTGACTAGCCCGACAAAGTGGGGTCCGGTTTCGCACTGAACCTAATGCGTTCGTATGCTGATCATATCTCTACTTTAAATATGATGTAGAAACTGGGCAGCTAGTAGTTAAATCAAGAAGTGCAGACAAAATTGTAATCAGTAAGCACTCAAGAGAACAATAATTTTTGTTCTGGTGATTTGGTATTTATCAGCTGCCCTCTGGTGTGCTTTTAGTTTCTGCTAGTCATCCTTAATCTTATTCTTGCTTGATGAAAGAACGCGTATCTTATGGAATGTATTTGTAAGTTTGTCGAACTTTGTATAACTGATCTTGCTCGTTATTAATTAACAGGTCAGAATGGCACGATTGACGGTCAGGGGAAGATGTGGTGGGATCTTTGGTGGAACAAGACACTAAAGCACACAAGAGGGCACCTCGTCGAACTTGTAAATTCTCGCAACATTCTCATATCCAACCTCACTTTTCGCGATTCTCCATTTTGGACCATTCATCCTGTTTACAGCAGGTGTGCCTTGACCTTCTCTTACTCTGAACTTAGGAGTTAGGCCAAAAAACTAGGTAAATAATACGAGCACTACTTATTTGTCACTAGCGAGAGCATGATTGAGGCATGCTAGCATATTTTAAAGGAAACTATGAGAAACATAATAGCTACAATATTAGTAATAGTGACTGTTGTCTGTAGTGTTGGACAATTAGTAAAGGCTTAGGAAAAAGATAAAAAAGAATCAACTATAAGTAAAGAATTCTCGTGACATCGAGCCCTAGTAGATACAGGATGCTCCACCATTTCAGATCAATTTCTTAAAAAATATATATATTAAAAGTTAAAAAGGTTTATATAATGACATATTGACATCTAATGTTTTGGACCTGTAGTGCTGACTTTTCGGATTTCGATTAATTATTCTCTTGTCATGGAAAATACTCGGAGAAAAAGGGAATAGATTAAAATAACCTAAACTAAATGAAATCAAGGGAGTGGTAACATTGTGTTCATGTTCCTAGTACACAATAGCAATTTTACTGTTTTCTTTACCCAGTATCGTGATTATAATTAACATCTCTCCTGACCAGTTTTTCCTTGCTTTCTCCAGCAATGTGGTGATAAGAGACATGACAATCTTGGCACCTTTAAATGCCCCAAATACTGATGGCATCGACCCAGGTAACTATAAACAACACATGAGTAACATAAAAGTTGATGTTAATGGGCCAAAACCATTCCATGGTGAAATATTTTGTCTTTTTCGAAACAGAATTAGTGATCGTATTTGCAGTGTTCCGTAAATTTGGTTAGAGAAAAAACACAAAAAGAATGACTAAATTCTCTCCCGCAGACTCGAGCACTAATGTCTGCATCGAGGACTGCTACATTGAGAGTGGGGATGACCTGGTTGCCATCAAGAGCGGCTGGGACCAATACGGCATCTCTACTGCCAAACCGAGCGCCAACATCACCGTCCGACGCATCTCCGGAACGACCCCAACGTGCTCCGGCGTAGGTATCGGCAGCGAGATGTCCGGAGGTATCCAAAACATTCTCGTCGAGGACCTGCGCGTCCGGGACTCCGCCGCAGGGGTCCGCATCAAAACTGACCGAGGGAGGGGAGGGTACATTACCAACGTGACAGTGCGCAATGTGGCGATGGAGAGGGTGAAGGTGCCGATAAGGTTCAGCAGGGGGGCTGACGACCACCCGGATGGGAAGTGGGACCCACAGGCTTTGCCGAGAGTTAGGGGGATAGTGGTGAGTGATGTGGTGAGTGTGGGCTCGGGCAGGGCTCCGTTGCTGGGGGGAATTGAGGGGGCTCCGTTTGAGGATGTGTGCTTCAGGAACGTTACTATACTGGGGCTGCGCCCGAAGGCTGTGAGGTGGAGCTGCGAGTTTGTCTCGGGTTTTAGTGAGGGGGTGTGGCCATTGCCGTGCTCGGAGCTAAAGAGAAACGGGAGCTCCTCTTCATGGTGTTTGAATGCTTGATTTTGGGATTTTGCCAACACACCGGTGGATGGTGATGTCCAAGAGGGCTGATAGATCTCATTTGGCTGGTGCGTTCCCGTTTTAGTTTGGCGCACGAACACACAAACACACACAAAATCTTGTAGACTTGCTCTCGTTATATATGATTTTTTTAGATATAATTTCTGTCTGCAAGGTTTTTGCTTGTTTTAGATGTAACAAAACCAAAAGCCTGATTTTTTTTCTTTGTTTTTTGGCAACTGTGACATCATATGCAGACAGAGTTCAAAAGTAACTATTTTGAATTGATTTCTTCAGTTTCATCTGGAATTCTAAAGTTCATGTAAATGTTTGCAAGAAAAGAGTTTCCTCTCCAGTTTTTCTACTGTCGTAATTAACAACGTACCATACAAAGAAGCAAGAAACGTAACAAGGCAAGTAAATAAAACAAAAAACATAATTTAGATGTTCACAAAATGGATCATTGGAACCAGAAAAATTAGATACATGCTCAGAGTAACTTCTTTTTACATCATCTTTCACCATTTCCAGAACACGTTCGAACCGCACTTGTATTTGTCCTTCCCTTCGCACTCTAAGGCCAAGTCATCAGAAATAAATGGTACTTTCTGCAAAAGAGAACCATAAATATTGATATTGAATACTATCATGTGTGGCAACAAAGTTAGATGATATTAGATATAAATCACATTCATCAAATACAAAAAGATGAAACCTTTTGCTTGGCGAGATCTTGGCAACCAGTGAAGTTCTCAGGGAACTTGCATGTCCCAAACTGAACCGTGTACGCTCGGGCAAAGTTTGCACCGCTCGTGGCCAGCCGCTTCTTGTCATTCAATTCCTACATGCACCAACTAAATTTATAAAGCAATCTATTACAGAACATTGAGCTTAATCGGACCAGGTGATATATTTTTGATATGTTAGGCAAGCCATTTATGTATGTTAGAATATCACTTGTGAGTTGTCCCACATCGTTTATATCGGAAAAATAGACCTAACTTATAAGCCTCGTGGGCTTATCCTCTCTTTACCAATTGGTTTTGAGATGAAACATCACTGGACTTCATCTAGTCTCACCTTATTATGTCACGTGCATGGGTGATAATAAACGAATATTCAAAAACTGAGAATAACCTTGTTTGCCTTGCTCTTCTCCAAATAATCCTCAATGACACCGGCGTTGGCAGCAGAAGAGATGGTGGTGGTGAAAAGGGCGGCACCAAGGCCCAGAAGGGCGGCCCTTCTTCCGGATTGGTCAGAATCGAGCTTTTGGGCTCTGATCACAGGCAACTTCTGAACTGGAGTTGCAACTGAGGGCAGACAGCTCACCTTTGAGCTAAGCTCAGTACCTGACCTGGCATAGTTGCAAGCCAAAATGCTGGAGTTCATGGCTGCCATTCTCTTAATTGTTTTCTTTTATTATTTTTTCTTACTTTTGATGCACAATTGAGGATTTTTAGAGGGGAAATTAGATTATGGAACTGGAAAATATTGGTTTTGGGGGATGAGATGGAGCTGGAGGGGATTTAAGGGTGTGGTGGGAGTGTGGATAAGGTGAGATTGCCATAATCCCATTGGCAGATTGTAGGCAAGTCCAACTGGACATTTTTTGTTGCAATTTATGTGGTGTGTTTTGAGCAGTGGGACCCATTTCATGATCTATGTGGCAGTCCTTGGCATAATAAAATATGCGGTTTTGCTATGAAATCAACCGTTGGCTTTATAGTCGAGCCAACCTTCGATATACAGCAAGTAAACCATACCATATTCTCTGATTACTTAAATAACACTAATAATTTTATTAATACTAGTACAGAATCCGTGTGATGCACGGGGGTTTATTATCTCCGTTCCGTTGAAAAAACAAATATTAGTTACAATTCAAAGTACTTACTAACAGAAACATCATGTCATTAATACTAAAAAGTATAAGAAAATAAAGAAAAAATCATATATATATATATATATATATTATTGAACACTTCCTTATATACAACGTTCATGGTTGATTCTTTGGCACGTCATCATCGCCACAAATTAAGATTTTCAAACCATTTCTGTTTGTGACACGGGAGACAACAACATACAACTGGCCATGACTAAACACTGGTTTCTTAAGAAATAAGCCAACATGAGATAATGATTGTCCCTGACTCTTATTTATAGTATGGCGTAAGAGACCATAATGAGAAACTGAAGACATTGGAACTTGAAAGGAATTTTAATATCAGAAAGAGTTATAGCCATTTTTGGAATCAACACTTTATCACCTGCGTGATCGCCAGTGAGTATCTTACACTCGAGAACATGAGTGGAGAGCTTCATCACTATCAATCGTGTCCCATTACACAGTCCCATAGAATGGTCCATGTTACACAACAGCATGATCGGAGTTTCAATCTTCATGTCAACTCATGATTCGGTATTCTAGAGCACTTGATACTATTAAAAAACTCGGGCGTATGGAGATCAGGCAAAAAGTCATTATTAGAATCTGATTTGCACGTACTATCAGAGCTCAAGTACGTACGACCATCCGACAAGTTCAAAGATGTCATGTACTCATTGATAGAATCGACAACATCCAAAGTCGGCGCTAATATAGCCCTATCCTTCAAATAACTTGGATCGTCGGCGGCCTCCTTAAACATTGGATATGTGCTTTCAACGATTTGAGCAACGGGATCATCAGATGGCTCTAGCAAAATGTCCTCGGGTACGTTAATCATTACACAACCATCATTCGACCCCTCTATAGTGCCATCTCCAATTCTAGCTATCCAATCCGCAAACCGAGCGAGCTCATCACGTTATTCGAGTCTTGAAGTCCACAGAGACGCATGTTTTTTGTGAGCCTTAATACAATACTTCTTCTCCATATGTCAGGAGCAATTATGGTAGCATTAATTATGTCTTGACGGCTACCCTTTAGAATGACCGGAAGGATTTGTCGAAAATCTCCACCAAAAACAACAGTCTTCCCGCCAAAAGGTTTTTTCTTGTTTGAATGGTCAATTTCTAGCATAATACTCTGCAGAGATGTCTGTACAGCTTCGAAGCAGTGTTTGTGCATCATTGGAGCCTCATTACATATTATAAGAGAAGCACGAATTATCAATTTCACCAAAGGGCTCGACTGATTGATGTCGCAAGTAGATTCGTGGTGTGGATTCAATGGTATAGCAAAGCGAGAATGCGTCGTTCATCCACCTGGCAGCAAAAGTCGATGCTATTCCGCTAGATGCGACGCATAAGACTATGTTACCCTTGGATCTCAAACCAGCAGATAAGGTCCTCCACAGATACGTCTTCCCAGTTCCACCATAACCGTATACAAAAAACACACCACCTTGGTTTGATTGAACGGTAGACATAATTCTGACGTAGACACTCTTCTGTTCATCTGTCATGTTTTGAAGAAGCGTATCATGTTCAACAGCGAGGGCCTTTCGATCATAATTCAACTCATCTAATATCAGACGATTCAAAGTTGAATGCATGTTGTCCCTATCCGGAAATGGCATAGGCTCATATTCTCGAAGACTTGTACCACGACGTCTCAACAAAGTCTCAATCTCAACAAGTGCAAGATTTTGAATTTGTTCCTCAGTAAGGAGCAAATCTATAAAAAAAATATATATAAACGAAGATCAACACAATTTAAATGTTATTAAAAAATTGTATATAACCTTGCAAATCAATAATTAATAAAATAGATATGATATATGAAAAGTATGAGTACCGTGGTTATTGAACAATCGACGATGTCTGTACAGTATGCCATCAGACATACATTGCCAACACTTATTTCATACGTCATCTGGTCTGCCAAATGAACCGGACACCAACAATGATGCGAACATGCGTCTAAGGGAGTCTGCAGATGCCCACTGACTTGCCTCGGTTATGCCATGTACATACTCTCAATCGTCCTCTAACAAACCCCGCGAGTAGCAAGTGTCACGATACGTTATATATTGGACGTCATCGACCTTCATATAGTCCTCATGACATGTTGCCCCACGCATAACAGTAAGCAACAATCGCAAGTAATAATTATTTTCAGACCCAGGTAACGACCTACAGAGGGTTGGTCCTCATTTACTCGAGGAGTCCACTGCCATATTTTTGTATTCCACACAAACTTGGACGGCGCCTCAGCATAAGTTAGTTCCCTCGCTGCAGGATATTGTTTGTTTGCCTCAAGCCATGCAATAAATTGGCTCTGATCAACAGTGGGTTTACGGAGAACGTTTTGAAGATTTTCTTCGTCGTCAAATATTAGGTTTTTTTCTCCAAATAAGTGGAAATTCAAGCGCTGCACGGGAGGTTTTTGTACTACAATTAATTACCGAACAACCTACATGCCGCCTCACACGACGATATGTACCGACAATCGTAATACAATTTATCTCATCCAACAGTCTCTCGACGTCCGATTCGGCAGAAGTTTTATAAAAGGATGCAGTCACACGATCGTTACCCTTGTTGACATATTTGAATAGGTATTTTATAGATCGTGATTGATTGCACCACTCAACATTAATATGCGCTCCAAACTTCATAAGCAGACGCCGGTTATGAGGCACGACAAAACCGTTGTGCACAACAATACCATTCTTTTCTAGAAAATATCCATTGTCACGACACCTGTACCGTGGGTAACCCTCTTTGTCAACTGTTTTGGATTCAACAAACTTTTTAGGAAATCTTTTGGTGCATTTTCCATCGACAATACACGGCGAGTCTTTTTTGCCAGACCACATGGCCCATGGATCATATGCTCCTTTACGGCCTCGTTATATTGAGGATCAAAAGATTCATTTGGTATCTCTGCAGATATAATTTTGTCTATGTCTGATGGGTTGGGAAACTTCGACTCTTTCGAAAGGAACAACAATATATGAGCATGCGGTAATCCACGTTTGTTAAACTCGATCGTGTAGATAACTGCAAAAAAGAAAAAAAAAAAATAAGAGAAAGGAAAAACAGTGTAGTTATCATTATAAATAAAAATTCAAAATTTTTAAAACGATTTTTATGCGAGATGCGAATGATGTCGAATGTCTGTTGTTATTGTTCAAGCTATGCGATGTATATATAGTCATACACTGGGACTTAAAAAATATTTAAATATTGTACTAATCTTTTGGGATTTTCACGTTTACATGGGCAAGTTTTCCTATTTACACGGCCATATTGCATCATTATCTTGAAGATATTATTTACACAATCCGCTTACATGCTTTAAAAAAGCCAATATTATTTTGTTTTGTGAAATTAATTACGTAAATTCAATTTTTACCATAAATGCATTTTTGGTAATTCCATAATCAAATCTCACAGAATCCGTGTTTGTTGATTAAGAGATTCCAAACTAATGTTGCACAAAATTTGCTGAAATTAGTTAAGAAACTCGGAACCAATTATGAGGAGATACAAATTGATTAATCTATGTTTAATTTTCACGCGTGTATAATTAATTGTGAACAAAGTTGTCTGCGTACAGATTCCGTTTTACTTAGGGATACAAATTGCAAACTAATTTTGCACAAAATCCGAATTGATTAAGTAAATCATAACAAAATTTGAGCATTTAAAATATTAATCAGTTGCTCTTCATTTTGCACCGAATCCGCATGGATTAAGCGAACAAATACCGGTTATATTGGTTACACAATTCGAAATTAATTTTGCCAGGATTTCGCATGGATTTGCGCACAGATTTTATGTTCACTAATTAAACATGTGGGACCTTTAGTGTTTTTACTTGATATAGTAATTATTACTTAATTAGCAAGTCAAAACATTATTTTTTTATAGTCAATCTTAATATTTTTGTATTTTTTTCAACAACCTCTTTATATAATTATAGATATTATGATTTACTTGTTGTATATAGAAGGTTGACTTCATAACAAAACCGATAAAATCTGATGGTTATGTTGCATGGTATATGGTAAGTGACTTGATAATTTTTGTTATCTAACTTAGACAACTTTTTTCGACATGGTAAGTGACTGGATAATTTTGGTCATGTAACTTAGACAACTTTTTCGATTTTTGCCCATTAAGTAGTTCGAATTACAAATTTAGTATGTTATAGTTGTAACTTTTGTCAATTTTGATCCACTCAATACTATAAATACTATTCTTTTGTGATTTCTTTCGCCACGAACTGAATTTTATTATAATTTATTAAGTAACTTGATGAAATTTATTTAGCCACCAAAAAATTTAACATGATTTTATTGTGCTACTATATAGTATTTTTGTGATGATTTGGTATGTGACGAACAAAGATTGGCTAATTTTCATTTTTAGTACACTATGTTGGTCATTTCTCGACAAAGGTTTATTAATAGGGTGTCATTAAGAATGGTTCATTAAGTTGCCAC